ATGGGTATATATCAGATATGTAATTGTGGAAGCAATACCAAACACCTAACTTCAATGACTACTTCCCACTACATTATCGGCCCCCGGGGCAAACGCAAATGGAAAACAGGGGTGAACCCTTAGGGCACATGATATTTTTTTGTTTCATAAAGGCTGTCCAGGTCCTCCGTACTGAGTGAACCGCTCTCTCTGTCTCTATCCCACACACGGAAGTGCGGTCAGTAACCGTGCCGGCTCCACTGCAGCTTCCTGCGTCCCCCACCGGCCATGAGCTTCTGTCTCTCGGCTTATCTGCCACTGCCGCTTCGTTTTCGCTTTTGTATTCACTCATTCGACTGGACGGCTCGACGCCCCACGTCAGTGTGCACGCCTGCTCCCAAACTAACAGTCATGAATACAGTGCATTCCGGTTATTTCCTGGATTGGGTTGCACTAACCACGTTATCCGTGCTTACCTGTGAATCACAGAGCTGTGCACCGGCTCGTTATTGGCCATTTTACAATTAGAAATATACTGCGGGTCTTCACATTACAAATCTAATACGCGCCAAAGAATAAGGAAAAAAAAATAACCTACCTTCCATTAAAACTCACCTTAGTTACCAAGCGTGACAGTGATACACTACCTTGGGTATCACGGACAGAATTAAAGTTTTAAAGCGAAAAGAAATTAAAATGTCTTCCTGTGCATGTAGTCAGGCGAACTCGCTCCAGCTTCTAGCCGGCTTTCGACCTGAAACCTTGATTTTTCCCAAAGCAATCTGAATTTCAATTATTTCTATGACTAAATCTTTGCACGGGGAGGGTTTTCTGAAACGGTACGACCTGCGATTTCTGTCAAACGCGGAACCAAAACCCAGACCGACGCACGTGACGGTGTCAGGCGCTTCCGTGATGACAGCTCGCTTTAGTCATGTGACAGGGTTGAGGAAGCCGCCATTTTGACTAAGGGCACGCTGAGCCAGGCTGGTAAAGCAAAGGGGAAGAGACCTGCTGAAGTCAGACAGGTCGCCGCCATGTCAGATGAGGGTTTGGAGAATTGATCGACTGGGCAGACAAAAATCTAAGACTGCCTTTGGGATTTCAGAAGAGCTTTTTTGATAAGACAACGTTTAGCCCATCATTAAAAAAAATGCACTTAGAACAACAGCAAGATGCAACAGAACTGCAGAAATATTTTAAAATAGAAAAGTTGCATATATACACATAATGACAGTACAGTCACTGACGTTCACACACATGCACGAAGAGAAGTAAAAAGTTCAACATCTGCTGCACATATGTGGCAGTGTGCGATGTGCTGTACTGCAGTCCCAGCTCTGTCTCCCCCTCTCTCCACCATGACACTGGTTGCAATCTAGAGTCACTGTTTGACCCTGTTGGT